GGGTTTTTTCCAGGATGCCATTGATATTTATTTGTAGTATTGTCAATTTATTTACCATAGGTTGACAATATTTCCAATAAGTCCATTTCTGATTTGGCTGTCGCCAGTCTGGTTTTTAGATTTCTCACTTTATTGATCAGTTCCTTGATGTTGAATTTTTCATTCAGGTTCTTGATTTCCGCCATCAAGGTTTGGAAGTCAGAGTACTCGCCCTTGTCCCCTGGGGAGCTTGGTAGGTTTTTGGGTCGATTGTTTTGGGTGTTTCCGGGTATTCCCCAAGGTCGGGGCACACTTTAAAATTGGCTGCATGGCTGCCATCACAGTTGGCGCATTTAAGCGGGACTTCGTCCTCCTTTATTCCTCTGCGTCGCCTGCATTCTGATGCATGATGGGGGGCGGCGCACTTCAGGCACTTTCTGGTGCGATGGCAATTTTGGGACCCATTTCCAAAAGCTTGGCAGTGATAGCATTGGGAATATTCATTTTTTTTTTGTGGAAGGTTTCCCATTTGATCATAGTCTGGTCTACGCTCCTGATGCGTTTGATCTGGCCTATATTGGCCTCTTTGTTGGCCTCAACAAGATAGGAATGGCTGCCGTTTCTGCCATGGGCACACACTCTATTATATGCTCGTTCTCCTCTTTGAGGGCGGCTATCACCTCGGTGGTATCCATATTTGGGGGGCCCTTGAAGACCACTTGCTTTTGTCTCTGATTTCTAGGAGAGAATGGATAATATTTGATGGTTTGGTCCATGTCCAGGAAGGATTTTAGAAGATTGTGGTGGTTTAAGTCTTCAGTGTAGATTTTGATGTTCTTAGGAGTGTACCTTATTTGGTACGGGGACTCCTTCAAGATTTTTTTAATATCGTTTTTGAAGGGTAGGAAATCAACTTTTGATGTGATGATAATGGGTGGAGGTTTGGGCGCTGATGTGGCGATGGTGGGTGGCTGTGTTGTTTCCATGTCAACCGTATTTTGCAGGAATGCGAAGCGGTTTTTTGTTGGGACGTATGTTTATGGGAAGAAGTTTTCGGCACCATCTTCAACAGGATAGTTTCCTGATCCGCTTGACATGGGGCTACGGCTTCGGATGGGGCTGCAGCTACGGATACGGCTGCGGCTGCAGCTGCGGGATCTTGGGGGGTTCAGAGGGGTGAATTTACAGCTTTGGTCACCGAGCTCCTTCTTGGTTATGGCTTTGTTAACATTGAATGGTGTCTCTTGGATATCGGTACTAGACCGGGCATGATTATCTAGGGGGCGCACGGCTCGCACTGGTCGAAAGTCGATTAGGGTTCGCAGAGCTGCTAGCCTAATTGATTATTAACAACTCTGGTTTTCCGGCACTGTCACTTGGGTTTTTCCCAGAATTCTAACGGTTAGAATTTTGGGTAGGGACTGGAGAGCGAGTTCTAGGAGGTGTTAGCTCTTATTCGGACTGAGATGAATAAACCTCACTTGAAGTGTGCTAGAGTTTGGGCTACTTCTAGAGAGAGTCTTCGACAATCACAACATCAGCGCTGACACCAAACTTTGCGTCTACAATGTAGTTGTAATACCAACATACATATTATGACTATGAAACATGGACCACCTACAGAAGACATATAAAGAGCCTGGAAAAATACCACTTGCGATGCCCAAGAAGGGTCCTCCGGATTAAATGACACGACCGACGACGAACGAACATTAGTGTTTTAGAGGAGGCCAAAACAACTAGCATGGAAGCCCTCATGATTAAGCACCAACTTTGCTGGACAGGTCACCTCGTCCGCATTTCTGGAACACGTCTTCCACGACAGATTCTCTACCATCAACTGAAAGAGGAAAAACAAAATCCAAGAGGTCAACAAATATGCTACAAAGATGTTCTAAAAGAAAATATGGCAAAGTGCGGCGTGGATACCAGTCCAGCAACTGGGAAACGAAGGCAAATGATAGATCCTCAACAGCGACGCAGAAATGAGACGGAAAAGAGGGACCGTAGAAAGAAGCGAGAGAATAGGGGAAGAGACAATGCTGCCATACACTGGGTGTGCCAAGATTGTGAGAAGGTGTGCGGCTCCAGAATTGGTTTACATAGCCATCAGAAAATGTATAATCGACGACGGTGAGTAAAGAATAGAAGATAATCATACTCGGTATCGAGTGATCGCCTATGAGGATGATGACCATTCTACAGTCATTTTAACCTTCCGCTGCCAGCGGAAAGAATTTCAGGTTTGTACCACCTGTGATGAAAAGGGTAAAAAGCTTCGAGCCGAGAAACCAGAGAGGTGGAAGAAGGTGACTATTGGGAAAGTTGGCTATTGGGAAAAGCGAGAGCCCACGATACCGAGAACGAGAACCCAATTTAACTGACGTTGGGTTCATCATTGTAATGAGAGACGAGAGAAAGCTGCCGAATCATTAGGGACCTTGGCATAGAACTAAGAATAGTTTTAGTCAACCTCAAACATCAAATCCTATTCATTTATAATTTAGAGATGTCAGATCTAGCGCAATGTATAAAATTAAATGATGTTTTAAAATATTTGACTAATTTTGACCATAAATCAGGAGAAAGTATCGCTGTTTTTTTTTTCGGTTTCTTGAAATTCTAGAAAAATTTACTCTGGTGTCAAGATGAAATTATTTAGAAGACCTCAGTCTAAACAAATACTCTAGTAGCTTTGAACATAGCAGTAGTATTCACCATTTAGCGCAAAACGAATTCCCCTAATTAGGGTATTTAAATATAGCCAGAAGGAAACAAACCAATTTCTGCAAGACTTTGCCCCAAATTATCCCAAGAGTATAACAAAATTAACGGATTAATTAGCTGCTTGCGAACACTGGAGGGCACGGCGTTTCAAAATGAAAACATTTTGAATTCGCCTTCAGGAAAACTTTATTAGTTCAGTCAAGTTCAAACTAAAGGCAAGTGTACCTAAAAAGAAACAAGCAAGCAAGCTGGGAGCATTTAAAATAGTTCTTGCTTAATTATGGAGCTTAAAAAAATTTCAAATAAATATTAACGGAAATTACTATCAACTAATAAGAAACAATGATTTAATGACAATTTTTTAATTTTCCTTAGAAGTTATACCATCGCTTGAAATACGAAGAATTTGAAAACCAACCCTGAACAAGGTCACGTCTCTTAGAATATAAATTCCAATAATTGTTTTGCATTATCATTCTTTTTATTATATTAGACTGTGAGCGCATAGATTCAAGAAATTCTATATTTCTCTTTCTCGGCTAAAGATTGAAGACAGTTGAAACGTTGCCACAGTAAGCCAAAAATATATCTAATAGAAATCCACAGTCTCGTATTGAAACATTACATGCTTCTTTCGAAAAAGCATTTTTATAAGTAGTACCATAGTTCATCGTATGGTCTTCCGAACAAACTTTGCAAGTGGTTGGGGAGCTTTTTGGAAGTTCGGTGAAATGTTGTGGTCGATGGTGTGTCTTCTGATACACTGCCTATAAATGCCAGCGATTCATTGCAATCTCTCAAACATAGACGCAAGGTAGCCGACTTGTCGTTATTCTATCGTTATTACCATGGAAGATGTCCTGACGATCTGGCCAGCCTCATTCTTCTATGAGAAGCTATTCAAGAACCAGAAGAACCGCACAGGCATCCAATCCGTTACATGTTAAAATGTTTTGAAAATAAATTTAACGAGCTTCCACTGCAGCGACAAATTACTTCACTAGTCCTCTTTTGATTCGTTTAGAACATTTATTCTACCTTACATAAAAAAAAAAATTATACATGGTACCTAAATCTTTGTAAATTTGAATCATTTGATGCTATGCCTTTTCAGATTCAATCAAGCGATTCTTGTTCCGCTCAACTTTGAAGTAAACATGAATATATCTTGTCCCATTTCCAAGTCAACTATCAAAATTTCATGATTCTGAAATAGTTCTAATTTTCACATAGAGATCGATACACGAGTGATTATTAATTCAAATTCATCTGCAACATGGATCGAAAATTAGATACGATTAAGTCGGATGTACCCGCGGTAAATTATCAGGGTTTGTAAAACTTTCCGCATTGGATAAATAGAAAGAGGATGTTTAAAATGAACAAACATTGTAAAGTTTAAATAATATATCGGCTATATTTTGTCATATTTTGAATCACTTTTACTTTTTAAATGATGGTGATGTATTGATGTATGTATTTATTGCCTTCCTTACCTCTAATTTACCTATAGTACTGGATTCTATTAATGAAAAAAAAAATTCTAATCAACAAGTAGGTATTAGGTATTACAGTAACTAAATCTTTAGTTATTCCATTATAGAATGTTTAAATTAATAGAAGTTATTGTAGGTAATACATCTTCATTAGCTCTTTTTGATTGTTTTATCTTGAGTTTTCTTTGAGTGTAGGTTTAATTTAGTGAAACTTTCTTTGTAGGAAAGCAAAATAATCTGTTCTTGTCATTGTTTGATGAAAAGCAAAAGTCCAACATTTTCACACGCAACTTCAATCACGCTGCGAGCTGTGAAGGTGGTCTCAAACATTGATTTTCAAATATTCACCCCCATGTCTTTCGAATATCTGCAGGTATTTAGGATATTTATACTCCCGTATCGATCAGAATCCAAAAATAAGGTTTATTGGAGATTCAGGACTGTACAGGTTAAAATTAGGTTTAGCACGCCAAGATGAATAACAATGCAAGAAAATATTATTTTGTGTTTCAGGAATATTGAAAAACGGAGGGTTGAGAAAAAGAATTTCTAGGGCCGAAATGAAACATCGCCGTTCGTTTTATTTCAAAATAAACAAATCATAAAGCTATTTGTCCAGCAATTTGAAAATAACAATTTACAAGTGACAAGTTATATATTTTTATATACCTAATAGGAATACCTACATATTTCATATGCTTTGAATTCCAAAAGTTCATTTTCTAAACTCGAACTAAGAACAAATATTCAATTCTATTGAAGTAAATAATAGATTAATAGACTGAAACATGTAAAGTTTCAAAAAATACTATCAGAACTAGTCTCGAAACTAGTAGAAGTATGAGATGTGGTAAACGAACCACAAGCGCTGTCATATAAACTAGTGATGCTATCACTGCTATCACTTCTATCACTGCTATCACTTGCTTCTTGCTGGGGCATGCGGGCTCGCTTCAAATCGTAATACCTGTATGCTTCCACTAGATTTTTAAACCACCTCTTCTTGATTAAGGACAAACGATGACGTTTTCTCTGCAACCTAGCTGGTGTAACCAATCGCTGGATTTTAGGAGACTTGTATCTTTGCTTAAATTGACTTCCCTCCAAAGGAGCTTCCTTCAAAGCAAGGGGACGTTTTGAAACGTATTGCGTGAGGTCAGCTTCCTTGCTCAAGTTGAAGAGTTTGCGGATGTTCGAAGCACGCTTAGGTCCAAGTCTGCGTGGAATTGTGGTGTCAGTGAGGCCAGAGATTTCTTGTTCACCCTTGCGGACCACCACTAAAGCCAACACAGATAAATCGTCATCTACGATGCAACCACGAACAGTTTTCCTCCGACGTTCACCTTGTTTTTTGGGTCTGTAACAGGAGTGCCCCTCCGACAGCAACAAACGAACACGACAGTTGGCAAGGACGCCTTGTTTCATTGGAAAACCTTGTTTATCATTACCTCCGGTAATTTTAAGAACGTAGCCCTTCCATTCATCGCCTAATGAATCGCCTTCCACTACTTGCCCCATGCGTTTCCCATAGAAAATACGAGTTCTATGTTCAGCTATATCTTTGAAGAGCTTTTGACGGCCCGTAGCTGGGTAGGACACGTTTAGCTTCATCTATAACTCAATCTTACTACAAAAATACAGGATTTAACTCAAAAATACACAAGCCTGTGCGTTTGATAACTAGCTGGCCGGGCCGGCAATTTGACTAATCGACTACGTTCGTTAAATGACAGCACCTTTGACTCTTGACATACCTACAAAAGTTAGCGCGTCCGAAAACGTAATTAGAGGTAGTGACTCTTCTACTTCTTCCACTTCTGCTCGTCGTGTTCAAAAAGTAATAATTATGCATAAATTAAATAAAAAATATAAATAGGGACAATCTGGACCAGTGAAAATCGTCTTTTGGTTTTTATTCGAGAGCGTTGCAGAATATACTAATCCCGCGTTTGGGTTCACGCTCGGTGTACTCAGAGCTTGCATTTTTGTCTCTCTTCTGTTATTTTTGAAGCTGCGCCAATGCTTGATTGTGTTTGGTTTGACATATTTGGAGCGCTCCGAGTGAGCTCGATAATTTCCGAGTTTATGGAGCGGGCAGCTGGAGCGTGCATGCGCACTGCGCAGGCCGCAGATAACCCAGCCTATTTTCAATGATAAGATGAATAAACAATCCTAAATTTCAACATTTATTTGTTAGCTAGATAGTTTTAGTTATTTTATTCAAATGTAAGCTATAGCTAAGTGGGGCTAATAGCTAGTTAATGCGAAATACGGACTTGGACTTCAAAAAACATACTTATCAAAAAAAAAAAACAATAGTCATCTGATCGCTCAACCCAGCACGTTTACACGATTTTAGGTGTTTTTCTCGCTTAAAGTGGTTGAACCAGGTTGAACCTAATTCAAAACATTACATTTTCGCTTTCAACTAATGACGTCATTACAAAACTGTTTGAAAATATTTTGAAACGAGATTTTGCATCGGTTCAAAAACAAACGCATGCGCAATAGTTTAGGAAAGTTGACAGTTTGTTGTTTATGTTTATACTTGTGCTGTGTTGTGTCTTTTGTAGAAGGTCATAGAACCATGAACAGAACAGTTACATTTTTTGAAATATAGAAAATAGGATATGGCTAATTACCAGAAAAAAAAAAACAAACCAAAATCCTAGATTATGTATGTTAAATTCTTCATTTGAAAACCTCATTTTTTCTCGAATGAAAGTAATGACGTCATTTTCAACTAGGTTCAAAACAGATTTCAAAAACATTTCGAACTGCTGGGGTCGAGAAAAAACACTTTTTATTTGGCTTGACTGGTGACGTCACGTTACTCCGTAATCGCTCTGCTCGCTCCGCGCCCTAAGTGCCATTTAGTGGTGCATTTGAAAACGTAACGACAAAAAAAATGCAAAATCCATAGGAATTTAAGACGTCAGTGTCAAACAGACAAGCCCGAACATCGGTGCATTTACTGCAGTTTGACTTTGAAGTATGCGAAAGTCTGTGCACGACCTTGCGCGTGAAAAGTATAACTTGTCCGCACTAGTGGAGTACAATTTACAAAAATCGTCATCATTTGGAAATTAGTAGACCAATTAGCACATTCAACACCAAGCCGATTTTATTGAATCGTCGCCCCAGGCCACCTATACCTAAGAGAGGCTAGGGAGACACTGGTGTCCGCCCTGGCCCTAGGAGGACCAAAAAAAGGATAATTTTTATCGCACCGGGCTAGAGCGAACACAAATTTGACAACTTCCTAGGCCATAGCGGACATGATACCCGACGCAAAATAATCGGTGGATAGCCGGTAGAGAAGCATATTATATGTACTTCTCTACCGGGTGGACGCCCTGGCCCCTAGAGTACAGGTAATTTTAAATTATTTTTCACAGGCCACAGCGGTCACAAGAGCGGACACAGTTTCTAAGAACCTTATACATTCCGACAATCGAGCTGTTGGTGCAGAGCACGGAAACTTTCTTCTCTTGACTTTTTCAACTCTATTAGCTTTGAATATTGAAATCTTTTCTTGATATTCAGCGTTAGGGCGGACACCGGTGTCCGATAAGCTATATAGTTTTATCAGGCTACAGCGGACACCAGGGTGGACACCAGCGAGAAGTCAAATTCGAGCAATTTTTATCAGTAACTGTCCGCTCTGGCCCCATATAGGGTGTTACAAATTCCATTGTGTGCATGGGGATCTCGGAAGCCATAGGAGATACGAGGTCGATTAAATTGAGGTAAAATTGCGCAATTTTATGCACAACAAAATACCGTTTTAAAAATTCAAAAATTCCGAATAGTTCCGAAAATATTCTGAATCACAAACCGGAATTTTATAGAAAAGCGTTTTCATCTTTTTCTGAGCTTATTTGAAGAGATATCCTAGAATAAATGTCACGTATATCATTTCCTCGAGAAAATATTTTTTTTTTACTTTTTAGTAATTTCCTATCAAAATTCTCTTCTCTGTCTCTCTCTTACACATTAAGTTCTTATGGAAAGTACCAATAATATAAATTTTTGAGAAGGGTGCAATAATACATCATTGGTTTTGGGACCAGAAGCCTATAAAATCTAAAATAGAAAATAAAGGCCCGTAGGTATTTAAAAAAATAAAGTTGATGATGATGTTCCGAAGACGAAACGTCAGATTTTCAATTTGATGGTAGCATCTTGTAGAGGAGAAAAAGTGGCAACGATGAAGTGACATTTATTTTATGATATCTCTTCAAATAAGCTCAGAAAAAAATAAAAACGGTTTCCTGAAATTTCGGGACCTCGTATCTCTGATTTCCGAGATCCTCATGCACACACTCGAATTTGAAATACCCTGTATAGGGCCCGAGCGGACAGTTACTGATAAAAATTGCTCGAATTCGACTTCTCGCTGGCCAATGTTAACAGGTAAGAAGTGGTGTCCACCCTGGTGACTGCTGTGGCCTGATAGAACTATATAGCTTATCGGACACTGGTGTCCGCCCTTGGGCTAAATGTTTCAAGAAACTATTCCAATATTCAAAGCTAATAGAGTTGAAGAATTCAAGAGAAAAAAGTTACTCGTGCTCTAATTACCGTCTGAGAACCGCAAAGTTTACATTTCTCCCACCACTTGAATTGATTTTCACACCAACAATCTGATTGTCGAACGCACCCCTACACTCTAGAACGTCAAACGCCGTAGGCGTTTTCTCGCGTCTCAAATATTTCAAAACATTTTTCAAAACTGGTTTAAGTAATGTCACCATGACGTCATAATTTCTTGACGCGAGAAAATGGTTTGAAAACGTGGATTGGATTGTATTTCGAAACGGTTTGAACCAGTCTTGACGTGACGTCATGGGTATATCGCGAGAATGTACTGTTTCAAAACAGTTTCAAAAAAGTGGACGCCAGAAAACGCCTGTCTTTTTGACGTCGACTTTGTTTCTAGTGGCCCTCCTGGAGCACTCCCGAGCAGCTCTAAAGTACCGACTCCAGTAACTATTTTTTCAAGGTGCTCTATTTTGCCTCGACCCCTTTTCCTGGCACACCTACTCTTTTATCAGTGGCATATGTTACGGTTTAATAAAAATATTGCTCCTAATCAGTTTGTTAAATCATCAAATTCTCTTAATTTATTTATTATTGTAAGTCTTATTAATTGTTTTTCTAAATTTATTTCAACCTTCTGGTAGAAAGACTAAAGGGCCGGTTAATTCACCTTCTGATCAAGTGGCTGGTAAGTACTGCAATCTGATAGATAAAAACGCAATTTGCAATTGCAATCCCATTTGTTGCCAGATATCCGCCGACCAATATGACCACGTTTCGTTTCTATCGTGAAATCTCGATCAGCTCCGACTGATCCCAGTGAGCAAAACCGCAATAGTTGCATGATATAAACGACTTGGATTACAGAACGGACTGACTATAACTTCTCAAGCATTGACGCCAAATAAATTATTAGAAACGACTTAAGGCCGGAACACACCTATAAATGCCGGGACACACTTCTCATACAACCAGCCGATCCGAGTCGAATCCGATGTTGCCCAAAGAATTGGTTCGGTGCAAGATCGGAAAGGGGTCAGCCCACATGTCGTACTCGTTTCCGGCTTCTTTCCGATTTTCGGCTCCAGCTTGTTACACTCAAGGATAATACACACTACTAAAGATTGCTTATCGGCCTCGTTTTTGGTAATCGCCGCCATGTATTACCATTGCCGACGTCATTAACTAAGTCGTCAGCGACGTCAGCTGTTTGCGCCAGCGGTCGTAGTTTAGAATTTAAATTTTTGATGAAAAATATTATTTAATTTTGATTAACATAATAGGCAAATAGGAAGATGCAAACGAGATCTAAAAAATAGTTGTTTTAGAATGTTAATTAATGTAGTAGAACCAAGTATTCATATAGCAAAACCCCGCGGAATTATGGTGCAAACAGCCTACGTCAAGGCAAGAAACGACATGGTACCTACGTCACAACTGGTGATTTGGCGTGGTGGGGGCTTCAGATTTGTTCATAGGCCTTATGAGGATAGGCTATCCTGTAGTAGTAGTGTGTATTATCGTTGTGCTACACTCGCCACTCGCCATTCGCCATTCTTGATTCAAATAATATCGCGGAAGGTCCTGTGTGAAAAATGTTCAAAAATATGAGCAATTGGCTCCTGCGATTTAGCCATGGTGGCGCTTTGTTTAGAAGAAGAAGATATCCACATTTTGCCCTCAAAGCCGTAATTTTTTCCAACAAACACCAAGCGACACACAAGTAGAGGCCAGGGAACACTTGTTATAAATTCCTTCGATCCGACTCCGGTCTGATTTTTCCTCAAGAATCGGATCGGTGCGGGATCGGAACGGGGTGATCACACATGTCATACTCGTTTCCAGTTTCTTTCCGGTTCCGGCTCGTTACACTCGCCATTCTTGATTCAAACAATATCGCAGAAGGTCTTGAGTGCGAAATGTTCAAAAATTTTGCAATTCAGTCATAGTTGTTTAGAAGTACTTAGATGAAGAAATTCGGAGATCTTTTATAGAGAATTGCGAAAAATGCAGATTTTGGGTACATGCTGCTTGAAAAAGAAGTTCTGCAAAAGGAGAGTTTTCTACAC